CGCAGATGTAATGAGCGTCCCTGATTAACTGGCTGATTTTAATGGGGTATAGCAAGATGTTTCAGAGGGTAAAGGCATTGCCACCAAGCCTGATCACCTGAGTACAATCCCCAGGGCCCATATGGTAGAAAAAGTAACCGACTCCTCAAGGCGACTTTTGACCTCCACACACCTGTACGCTGTAACACACACACACACACATCAACAAAATAAATGTAGTAAAAAAAATAAATCAAGACATTATGCTGAGTTGGACGAAGGCAAATCAGGTGAGTTCCTTCCTGTGAAAGTGTATATAGGTTAGAGACAAAAGGCAAAAAAATACTCTCCTGCTGCCCTTGAAAAGAAAAAAACAACAACAGTAACAATAAAAATCCACAAAACATTACGAACTGCCTAAAGAGGGAGGCAACCTGTAGGAGTTCTGAGCCTCAGACAGACAGAAGCAAGAAAATTAATTCTGCCAACAATAGAGGAAAATGGAAGGAAATCCCAGTCACAGAGACAGCCCGTGTCCAATACCCTGACTGCAGTATGGTCAGTCCTGGAGGATCCTACCAAAGTATCCCTGGACTCTGTCCTCAGGAACTCTACAGTAGGGATATGTAGTCTACGCTCAAGTTGAGGAATTTGTCACACATCACAGAAAAGACAGAACGGTATGCTAAAAAACTAAACTCTACCCTCTCTAAATAATACTTCAATAAACCAAACTGAAGAAAATATAAGAGCAGAAATAAATGAAAACTTCTACAGTAGGGCTATAAGATAAAATTGGAGCAATCATTTAGAAAATGCAACTAAGAAGTGAGAAATGGAAAAGATACAAAAATGGAATTTTGTAGAAAGCTTCTGAAAGGAAGAAAAGGAAATCGAGAAATAACTCAAAACTTCCACACTAGTTTCCAGTTTTCATGGTATTATCGAATGCCCAGACAGGGATGGCTCAGCGGTTAAGAACACTGGTTGTTCTTGCAGAAGACCCGGGTTTGAATCCCAGCCACCCACATGACAGCTAACAACTGTAACTTCAGTTCCAGGGGATCAGATAGTCTCTTCTGACCTCCACAGGCATTGCATGACATGGGTGCACTTACCTATATGCAGGCTCTACACACATACACATAAAATAAAAAATAAATAAATAAATAAAAATAATGAACAACAACAAACCAGACAAATTTTCAAATATACGAATAGGAATCAAAATGGCCCAGACTTTTTGCAACATCCCTAGAAACTGGAGGCCAATAAAAGTAAAGAAATATTAACAGGGGGCTAGAGAGATGGCTCAGTGGTTAAGAGCACTGGCTGCTCTTGCAGAAGACCCAGGTTCAACTTCCAGCACCGACATGGTGATTAGCAACGGTTCATAACTTTGGTTCCAGGGGAATCCAATGCTCTCTTCTGACCTCTGTGGGCATTGTGTAGGCAGGTACATTTACAATACATTCATAAGTAAAAATAAATTTAAAAATATATAT